GGCCTGGGGAGGGGGGAGGGGGAGGGGCACAGGCAGGGTGGAGTGGCTGGGCCTCTGCTGCCTCTCAGAGGCCAGGCCCTCAGGACACTCCATGGGAGGCCCTTCCATCCCTGGGAAGGACGGGTTCAAGGCTGGCAGAACCCTGGTGGGAGGAGGCCTCTTTGCTTCTTTGATGCTCACACTTTGTGGACCCCTGAGGGAGCGTCTGAGTCATCACCGAGCCGGCAAACATATTTAGCTCCTCTCATTGTCCCTAATAAATCAATTTCTCCAGGTCCCTCACACCTGCCTTGGCTGCCGGCTGCCTGACCCCCATCCCCGGCTCCTGCCAGCTCTGGGTTACCCAGTGTGCTCCCCCTCCTCAGGCACTGGGCAGGGGTCCCGCTTGCCTTCTCAGAGCCCCCTCGCCCTCTCCTCCTCCATCCCAGGGCATCCTCTGCCAAGCTTCCCTCCCCCCCCCAATTCTGCGACGGCCTCTGTTCAGCAGCCCTGTCACTGGATCCCCAGTCAGAGCTTCGTGACCAGGGGCACATGGCCTTGGAGATGCAAGGGATTGCAGCACCGCGCACACAGCCCAGCTCTTGCCAGGACCCAGCCCTCCTCAAACCTGTATCCTCTTGGCCCCCCAAGGCTTGTTTTGGGGTCCAAAGGAATCCTGGTCTCGGTTCCTCTTGGTCCCACTGGCTGGAAGAACTAGGATTTCACTTTGCTTATCTTTAACTAGAGGCCCAGTGCTCAAAATTCATGCTGGGGGGGGGGGGCAGCGCTCAGCCAAGCCTGCACCCTCTCCAATTGGGGACCCCTCGGGGGATGTCCGACTGCCAATTTAGGCCCCATACCCAGGATCGGGCCGTGCAGGCCAGGCTGAGGGGCCTCTAGTGTAGTCTATAAAGTTGCTAATAATCAATTTGTTAGAGATAAATATTAGAATATGAGTTGATACACCACTTTAGATATCACCACCAATTATCTGTTAACTGTTATAGTTGTCTGAATTACAGTTTGAGATAATATTTTGTGTGTATAGAATTTTTGCTTAAAATATGGCTTCCCAGTTTTATACAAAGGGCCATTAACCAAAGTTCTATTTATTTCACTGTATTTCTGGCAGGTTTTCATCTATTTTATGTATTTATGGGAAGTATAAAAAGCACGCATTTGTGAAATTTTCCTAAACCAGATGAGTTTGAACTATAACTTATTTTAAATTACTGGGATATAAGTATATCAAATCTCACAAAGCTATTCTATAACTTACTTACAGCATTTCTTTTGCTAAAAATTTGAATTTTAATCCTGCCTTATGAAGCACTGTTTTCCAAAACTATTTATTCTAAGTTCTACCTATAAGTGTGGTTACCTTTTTCAATTTGTTATTGTTAGACAACTGGCAAGTTATATTTCCTGGAATGTAAAGATATATACTAAAATTTACTCTGAGTACTTAATATTCTGAATTTCTATTCTAAACCCTTCTCAATGGAAGAGGTAAAACGTAAAGACCACAAACTAAGGTGAAAAAGAAACAAAACAAAACAGTTTTTTCTCTAAATCCCCATTCTGCTAAAATTTTTTAAAAGTTCCAGTTAAATTTAGGAAAAGTCAGTCATGAAAACAGCCATCAGCCCCTCACCAAGGCTGGCCAGGCACCCCAGTGGGGACCCCCACCCTGAAGGGGGTGTGGCCAGCCTGCAAACAGCCCTCAGCCCCTCACCCAGGCTGGCCATGCACCCCAACGTGTCATGGCCAGCCTGACAGGTTTAGCCGGGCTGAGGCAGGGAGGTGGGAATTGAGAAAAGAAAGAAAGACAGGAAAGTGGGATCGGGAGGACTACAGCTCTCGAGGAACTGAAGCAAGTTTATTAGCTACACAATCCTATTTATACACAAGGCACTGAATAGGAGGTCTGTCAAGAGGAATGTATTCTTTGTTCCTCTTAATCTTTAAGGGAGAGACACAGCAGAAGGACAAGTTCTCAGTACAGCATATCTCAGTAAATAGTTACAGACTTCTTGGTAAGC